CGACATTGCTATGTAGTTTGGGTTGGGAAATCGGGATTTCTCCTTTATTTGGGATAATAGCAAAACCCAAATATGTGTCCCATTTTCGGACAATAGCACAATCACAAAACTGGTCAAATTTATTAATCGATGCTATAAATTGTTTTAATTTTCAAATTGAGAACCTAAAAGTAATTTAACGATTAAGCAGGATTGTTAAATAAATTGATATGTTAGATTTAATAGTTATATCGGGAATGTACACAATGAAAAAATTATTATAAAAGTGAAAGTTTTTTCACACAAAAATAAACTTCTAATCATAAGTTATAAACCTTTCGACCAAGTCTCCTTCGGAATTCGAGAATGCATAAAAGTCTTAGAGAGGTAAAATTTTTAATCAATTCATATCAATAATGTAGTCTTTCATTAACCGATTACCTGTTACGTATGCCGTAATGTCGGAAAGTCACACTCGATTATGGGCGACGCTGAGGTACCCCTTTTTCGATATGTAAAATATTGTGTAACAATAATGCATAAATCGAACTTCTGTCATGCTTGGCTTTTTATTTTTCCGATTCATTTTTTTTTTATACGATAACCTCCTTTCTTCATTTATTGGACTTTTTTTTTTTCTTAACTTCATTCTTTTATAGCTATTTGCTCAAGCATATAGGCTCTTTTGTGTTTTTGCATTTTAAAAATTTTACCAAATCGACAAGAGTATATTTTTATTCAACGTGTTGGCTTGCGATACAATGACATATTTATGACCGAGTATGATCAATGTTAAATCTTTTGCCCCGTTATGCATTTTAAAAGTCAGCTACTATATTTTAAACTAATACATATTTCAGTATCCAGAACTGAACCTAATTTAGGTTCAATTTTTGGATTATGAACTAAATCAGGACCACTTAAACCGGGAACCCGACATTTCTGAAATTCGAAGAGTATGGTTCGAAGTCTTTCATTTCGCTTCCCTCAGCTCCAGTCAATATATAAAATTTGAGATATAAAAAATTATAAAAGTATAACTCAAAATTCATTATAAACTTATATAAACTTCCTAACTCTAACCTAAATGCTAACTCACCATTGGTTATACAGTATATAGGATTCTTAAACGCTGGCCAGAATTACATAATATTTTCGAAACATGATGTTTGCTTGTTACACGTGACTTAAAAGACAATAACAATAACGAAAATATGGTGTAACAAGAATCAGTCATGTAGAAACTATAATAACCCACGCTTTTTTTTTCTGGTTTTTTTTTTTTTTCTTTTCTTCCAGAGTATTCATATATGTTCTGGTCTTCTTCGTGAATGCCTTCCATTTAAACCATTTGAACCATTGATATAAAGGTCAAAAAGTTAGTTAATGCCACTTTTAGCTAAACCTTGAATAGAACCCTCCATCAGTCAAGCAAAGGCATATTCTGCAAGTGACAGTACTACTCATCAGCGACAAGAAATGCAACCACCACAGCAACAATCAACTTCGTCGTTTAACATCAGGTCTATATTAAACCCGGCTCCATCACCGCCGTCTCATAGGTCCCAAACTGTATCAGGAACATCACTGCAACAAGATTCACATGCACACCCGACCTTACCGCCGGCTTCGTCAATGACTCAACAAACGTACTACCAGTCAAGTTCTCACTCACAAGTCCAGTCTCCAACTTTTCAATTGTCTTATAATAATAATAACCTTCGACTTCCACCACCATGTACAACTCCAACTTTTCCGTCATTTCCAAGCTCTTCAAATTCACCAGTAAATATTTATGGCTATACGCCTCAAAAATCAACTTTCTCACCAGTTGGTTTCAACGCTTCTAGCAATGGTACTCCTTTGTCACCAGTTAAAACTAGTCCTTCAACTCCACTGACTAATGCGCCAACTGTATTACAGTCGTCTCATGTATTAATGAAAAACAGTGAAATATCAATACCAGCTGCCTCGATCACTGCCTACAATAACCGAAGTCCCTCGTTAAGTCCAACCATTCAGGAGCAAGATGTTACTGCTTCGATAAATAAAGGTAACCATCATCACCACAACGGAAATAGTTCCGAAGTTAATCAAGTCACTGTTGCCACTACACCTATATTGTGTGATACACCTATATTGAGTGATTCTTGCGGTCATTTGACAAAAGACCAACCTCCTACTCCTATCCTTACTCCCGTGGAGTTTGTTGATCAGTCTGTGCAAAAATCGGGATATGTGCATCAAAACCTTAATCAATCTCTTAACACAGTGACAGCAGAAAATTCCTCTGGCTTAGAACAATTGGCTAGCACGGCACTCTTCGAACTTCAAAATTTACAGAGAAGAGATGTCATACACAACGAAGAAACCAGAACTGGTAGAGAATCTGATGTTTTTTCTGATGAAGGTCACATTTCGCATCCTACATCTCCATTTGAAGAGCGTACACCCGTTAAAAATATAGTGTCGCCTATTTCATATGAAAGTACAACGGGAAGCACACCCGCACCACCGCAAACCGATTCAGAATTTCCACAATATGATCATGATGAACCCATGAAAGGATTTGGTGAAACCACCGATTCAGAGAGTGCAACTGAAGAACCATCTAAGTCTGAATTTACAAGAATTAATAAGTCATCACATATTAAAGGCAAAGATTTACAAAACAAACGTAGATATAAGATCAATCAGAAGAACCATTATGAGGTCTCTTCTGATGATGCAGGTTCACGTCAACGTAAATCTGGAACAAGACGGCCGAAAACCACATTGACAAAAAGAAAACTATCATTGACATCTGATCGTACTCTCAAAGACAACAAGAGACAATTTCGATCAAGAACTACGTCTAATAATAGTAGTCGTAACACTTCACCAAGTCTGGGGTCTACAAATGCAAATGTCGTTGATGAGATGACCATTGATGAACCAGAACGGTCAGGGGAGCAGCAGCTTTATTGTGTCTGCCGGTCATCTGATGGCCAATCATTTATGATTGAATGTGACAATTGTGATGAATGGTTTCATGGTGCCTGTGTAAAAATATCATCCGAAGAATCATTAATGGTGGATAAATTTTATTGTCCAAATTGTACAGGTAAGCATATATAACGTATATGTATTGTCTTTATTGTTGGTGAAAGTCGATTAACATGTGTATGTGTTTTAAGCTAAGGGATTCAAAACATCATGGAAAGCAGAAAAATGTAAATACCCACCCTGCAAAAAACCAGCTAGATTTGAAAAATTGAAATTCTGTTCAGTCAAATGCGGAATGGATTTCAATCGTATTCTTCTCGAAAAGGAAGAAAGGGCAGCTAAAATGAAATTGCTTTTAAGCAAGAAAAATAAGGACAATAAAAAAGGACTGATAAAACGAAATGTTACGAATCGCACAGGGCAATTGGAAGATGTCGAAAGATTGAAAAGGATAGCGAAGAAAGAAGCTAAAATCAAAAAAGAGTTGGAAGAAATCGAGACTCTTAATAATGTTGCTGGACGGGGCATAGAGAGGGTTCAAAGTGAGAGTGATCAAGTTGATAGTGATGGATCAGCCCAAGATGCTCCATGCGAATTTGAGAAACAATCTGAGAGCGATGGACCTACACATAATGCACCAATCTGTGGATACAGTCCTCGTTTTGATTGGGCTATTGATAAAGACGATGTGAAATATGTTGAGGAAGAAATTTGTACAATTCAGAAGGCGCGTTGTAAAAAGCACCGTAATTGGCAAAGTCGTAAGAACATGCAGATAGAATTGGCGAAAGCCCATAAGGTTTGTGTACTGTTTTCCATTAGCATTTTAGATATACTTACGTGTCCTAACCAATTTTTTTTTTGTTTCATCATTAAATTCTAGAACAAGCGCCTTTTAGAACTTGCTGGAGAAAAGAGATTGATAAAGGCACAAATGAGGAAACGAAACGATATGGAAGAAGCAATAATAAGTGAAACAATTGATCATATGGCTGGATGGTGACATTATTACTTAGTTTGGGTTTGGGAATCTGGATTTTTACTTAATTGGGATAATAACCAAAACCCAAATATATATCCATTTTCGGCCAATAGTATCAAACTCAAAATCAGAACAAATTCAAATTAAGAACCAAGAGCGATTTACGACTAAGCAGGATTGTTAAATAAATTGATATATTAAATCTAATAGCTGTATCGGAAATGTATACACTAATTATAAAAATGAAAAATTTTCACATCTAAAATAAAACATCGAATCATAAATAAACTTTTCGACAAAGTCTCCTTCGAAATTCGAGGAATGTTTTTAGAAAAGCAAAATCCTTAATAAAAATGGATTTTGTTATTTATGTTGAGTTATTCGCGAGCATGATCCAATTCTTAGTCTCCAACCATGATTAGAAACTACGGATTCATCTGAAAGACAATTGAAACTAGAAAGAAGACTATACCGTTTTTAGTAAATCAACACAGAAACCTAATCGCACTGGGTCAATAATTATTAATACCTTATCGAACATAAAGGATGCTACAGCATTCAAACTAGTAAGTTTGGGTCACAATTCTAGCTGGGTGTGAGTGGTAATGAATAGTTGAATAGTAATCAGTAGATAAAATCAATTCTCTGATTCTTACTGACAAAAAAAAAATCTAAAGATGTCATCGATTTGTAAGAATATTATCCAACAATGAATAGAATCTAATTTAGAATAAAAATCATTCTCAAACATTTATGAAACTTATCATGTACAAAGTTATTAAAAAAAAAAATTTTTTTTATACTTTATCCTTGTATATTTTTATAATACAGTCAACTCTCTCTAAATGCACGTTATCTAAGTGCAACTCTTAATAAAATTTTCTCTAAATGCAAGACCTTTTTTGGTCCCAAGTATATAGAAAAATATAAATTTTGTATTTTCTAAATGCAACTTCTCTCTAAATGCAAGATTTTAATTTTTTTTATATTAAATTTTTCTTAGTCCTGCCCAGCTATAAATATTAAATCTCTCCCAAATCCAAACATGATAAAATTATCTTAAATTCCAATCCCAGACCATTTCATAGTTTTGCCAGCAAATATATAGGAAGACTTTCTCGTGATTGGTCAATTTTATTCAATTTTATTCAATTGAATTTATACAGTTTAGAGTACTTTTACCCCCCTAACATAGTAAAAAATGTAGCCGTCGTTTATAATACTACAGAAGGCTTTTCGCAAACGAAGCTTTAAGTATCTCGTGTATCTCTGGGATTCACCCACTTTAGGTATATTTTACTTAGAGACGGTTTTTAAGCTAGGAAATTAGGATGTATGATAAATATAAGCTTCTAATTAACTCACAAAGCGTAACTAGTTTTAAAAAAAAAGTTTAAAGGTAATATATAGTAACTTTACAATAATATTAAAATGGATTACAACACTCGAAGCTTTACCTAGTTATGAAGAAACGTTTGGTAAGTATAATTTTATATTTCAGGATCTTTGAAATGAATAAGTCCAGAATTGTTTTTTTTTAATATAAAAAAACTTATTATTATGATGTTAAGTAATAAATAGGTTCTACGTACTTTATTCATTCGTGGTTATTTAAGATAACTTTATTATATATTACGGAGATAGTCGTTCAACGTTTGATGAAAAATTTTCATTTATTGTCTCATTAACGGTGATACAAAATATTAATACTTTAAAATATATATAATATTTGAATATCTATTTAATCTATATATTTATAAAAAAATTTTTATAAGGTAGATATGCCTAATTTGATGCAGTGCCTAATTCGGCGCACTAACGATATCTTACGAACTGTTGATTAGAATCATGTAATTTTAGTACCATTCGATTCGTCTCATTGAGACGAATCGAATGATACCAAAATCATATGATTCTATCATTTAACCTAAATAGCCTATTTATATATAATCTTTGAAAATTAGCATAAAATCGCAGATAAATTTTGATAGAC